GATAAGTTTCTGGTTCAAATGAGGAATACTGGTATATGAACAAGAAACGTGAAATTTCTAATTGAATTATTTTTTACTCATAGGTATTCAAATGGGAGGATGTGGTACGGTAACTGTACGTTTTCGTCCTGCATTAATTTTTGCTGAAAAACATGCCAATATTGTTCTTGATAAATTATTTCAAGTAGCTAAACAGCATTAAAATATATCGCTAGCAAATATAATCACTGATAAAACCTCTCTATTGTGAGTGTGGTTGTGGTTGTGGGTGTGGGTGTCGGCGGATAAGAAGAAAATTATAATCACGCTTACATCCACACCCGCACTCACATCTACTCACACCCTCAAGATGTCAGAAACTAAGGCATATGTCAGCTTTTTATGATATCTGGGTCATTATCTAACATATGGTGATTTCTATAGTGGTAACCAATACTACCTATATTAGTGAGAAATGTTTAAATTCACAAATAAAAAATTTATCGAATAAAAAAGCATTGCCATGCTCCTATCATATCAATTTTTGTCATACTTTTTCAACAACATGTAAAATAATGTCATTATCTCCTTCAAAGTGAAAGGGACGAAGCTAACACTCACCAAGCGTACTCACCTCGGAGCAGACTTCCAGAATCTTAATTGCTTAGGAGTATTCAACATAGCCTAAGTAATCACCAGCTTCAATAAGTTAGAAGGAGTTTTATCCAAACATGTCAATTTTATACCTATAGTGTGCGTTAGAGAACATCTTAACAGTGTGTTAGAAGGCTGAAACTTTTTATAGAATATCTCAACAACTATCTCTAATATATGATGCAGAAAGATGGATGAAACGTTGTTTCTGTGAACAAATATAGTGAAGTTGTAGAACTTTTTGACCTCTCTATGTATTCTTTCCAAATATCTTTTGTATGTCTTTCATCACGGTAGGTATTTGTTTCTTCTTACTACCATCATTTTGATATGGCTATGACTAATGGTGAAAGAATGAAAAATATCTGTCATTTTTTTACTATTGTTCATGTATATTGTATTGATTGTCTATTTGTCTTGGGTGAAAAATTGAATGAAATGATAATAAATATTGGAAGAACAATATAATTCTATGAAAATTCTATTCAATTATTCAATGAAATCGAAAAACAGTCGTCATAATGTTTCATTCGAAAATAACCATGACTAACATTATTTAAAAAATGAGAAAAAACTGAAAATAACATATCTGGTTCATAATTTATTTGATAAATTTTACAAAAAAGAAGCTTATTAATAGATTCATATTACACAGTAAATCTACATTTGAATCAGCAAAACAAGCAACATGTAAGCATACAAAATGCAAAATAAACATAAATTACAATTTTACTTTTTGATCATACTTTCTACTTTCATATTCTGCACTCAAGAAATCATGAGCATCTTCTATATCTGATCTAAGCTTTTTCAAAAACAAATATTCATTATTAACAGCATTCTCATTTATATTGATGTATTAGATGCAGAAATTGCTTAAACTCGCCTGGCCTGTCTCTCGTGTCATGATTAGAAATGTTTCTAGCTTAAAATATGACTAGTTTTAAAAAATCTTCGTGACTGTGAATAAACATCATGGCTACGCAGTTCTCTGGTGGCCAGCTATACTGACGGGAGGAGTGTGTCGATCAGCTGAAGATTTTATTACACTTGCAAAGAAAAAAACTAGAAAAGTAATTTTGATTGAAATCACGAGAAATGATATTGATAGCTCCAAAACTACACTTGAAAATCTTTTCGAAACGGTAAAATCGGTTCTAGAAACATGAAAGATGCATTCATTTAAAGTTATTAATGAAAATAAATTAGCATTTCGTTATTAGTCGGTGTGTTTTTAGAAGAAAACTATAACATATGAATAGTAAACGTGTAGATTTTTTAGAGCTTTTCGTTGTGTTGATTATGTTTTTATTTAGATGTTCGATGAAATGTATGAAAGAGTTTCATTTAACCAAAACTTTGTTGCAAAGAAACAGCTGAAAACAAAATATTAGAAAAATTTACTGTTTGATACAGATGGATAAAAAATGCTTAGCTCGAAAGAGGTCGGGTCTACGTCCAGAGCTGGAGAAATACTAAAGTTTAAGATAGTATAGACTTAAATTATAGTGGCAAAGAGCCTTTCAGTGTGCCTAACACTTATCGCTAAAACATAGTTTATTCAAACAGAAAATGTTCGGTTTAGCAGAGACTAGTGAGATCTTCACATAGGATAATGCTATCTTTTAGTGTTTAGAATTTTAGAAATGTGGCTTTGAACGTTGAAAGGACGCCTTATGACAGAATCACATCAAATAGGAGAAAAATCCAAAGAGAACAATATGAGGAAATAACTTTGCAAAAAGAAAGAGAACGAAAGAAATAACTTCATCGGACAAAGTATATATATACACATATGCACCAAATGAAAGAGCACGAATACTTATAGGCGATACAACATAACTCTGTTGTAGCACATATCGTTTATACCAATCAATAAACTGATATTGATCTTATTTGATCTTTTCTTTTCCTATTACACAATTTCAAGAGCGAAGAACTTAGTCCATATGAAATATCAGGATCCGTGGAGCTAGCGACAGTTAGTGAAGAATGCTAGAGCAGACTCATAGCACACACAAAAAACAGAATTAAGGAATTATAGTAGTCATCTTTTCCATAACATTGCTCTGACGAGTATACTTATCGTTAACGGCGAAGGGGTTAAAGGAATTGTTATACGTTGCAATTTCGTAAAACCTGCCGAGAACATTTATGGAATGCATGAACCTCTTCGTAAAATTCTCAAACAATCCATTTAGGAAGGTATTTCCTGATTATATACCCAACCATTAGACTGAGCGAACCATATACAAGAGCATTGATGAATATGATTAACGGTCCTTACCATTCATGGCAAGGTTTATAATCGGGTATATCTAGTTCACAAACGACGTCTACGGTAGATGAAAGGGTATATGGAATCTTAGGAAGAGCCCATAAATGTTAAGATGGGTGTAAAAAACCTTATCTCACCCTCAAGAAATCAGCTTAAGAGTAGACATAGGGATGTAGGGCAACTTTTGCTTACCTCTTAAATCTGCTCAACAGTACATCAAAGGACGTGGAAAAGCGTAAATCAAACGAAAAAATGAGCGTAAAATAACTCAACAGTATTTCGTATCGAACCTAACGCACATCACATTTTGGAAGCGAAAAGAGAGAACAAAGTAGACTGGAGCAAGATGAGTAAGCATTATTGACTGTTATTTTGAAATAACCGTGGATATACCAGTATTGCAACACCAGCTTGAGTACGTCGCCATGGCTAAGTGGTTATATTGTTCGGCACGTATTCACAAGGTACTGTGTTCAAACCTCGGTATCATCACCTATGAAATGACCTTGGACAAGTTACTAACGGCTATTTGTCTCGGACCACCCATCCGATAGCATGCTGATTACGTGAAGACATACAATATAGCTCTTGTAGCTTGTATGTGGTTAGTCAGTATGTATGGGGAACTTAAGTAATTAAGCGAAAGGAACTCTGAGTCAGACCGGCCTTCTGTCCAGAGCTACAGCTAGAAATAGTTGTAGGAAGAATGTCGGGTTTATGCAAATGTCCTTGGACATCACCCTATAGTGAAAGGTAGCCGAAACGCGGGGTATTTATTCTTCTTCAGCTTGAGCATAAGTGATGATATGCCAAGTATGTATAAACGATACTTTTGTGCTTCTTTAATCGCTTCCATTTCCTTACCAATTAATGACATAACGTTCCATGTATCAATATGGATTGCCTGATGTTGTTGTTATCGATTTTGATGCTTTTTTGTACTGAACGTGTTCTTGGGGCATCGCACCTTCCCCACAAGTACGCTAGGATGGTTGGCGAGACGATTGCAAGCTTCTTGTTGGTGATTGGTTGTTGGTATCCGTAACTTTTTCGGATTAGACCTAGTCGATCTACGAGTTCCAATACTTGATTGACCATCAGACGTTTGCATTGTTCTGTCCCCAGGTATGGCACCAGGGACAGGCCCCGGTATCCCATTTCCGGAAAAGGTACGAGTTCCATAGGTTATGTTTATCATGGGAGGTTTGCAGAGGCCCGGTAGCGTTATCCAGGAAACACCACGAGGAGGAGGGGCTTGACTTGTTTCCCTATCCGTCAGTACTTCTCCGTTTAAAGCATATTCTTCTCATATATTTGAAACGATAGTCAATTGTACGAAAGAACAAAACCATGTTAATGAGACATTGATATGTTTCAATCGCAACCTGTTCGCACATTTGAAAATGTATATTTAATCGGAGGAGACGACGAAGAAATTTAAACAAAGCATATTTTTCTGGAATTAAAGTAAAATGAAAGTTATTCTCTCTTATGGTATAGATTTATTCCCACAGTTAAGAACTGAAACAAGATGAACGAAAAAAGATAAAGAAGTTCGAACAAAAGATTCAGATACATTGATCGAGAATTAATCTACGGAATGGCAATTGAAAAAGGGTGGAAAAAAGGATTTCAATATAAGCGATGTTTTTCATATTGATTCGAATTTATTCTGACAGTCAAAAAGCGAAGAAAGGTGCAATAAAACGATGAAGAAATTTAAATAGAAGAGCTATATCTATTAATTGCACTTATATCAAAAGTTGAAAACTGAAATTAGATGAACCAAAAAGACGAAAAATTTGAATTAAAAGATATTTCTCTATTGTTCACGACTTTACTATAAGATTAAAATCTTAAAATAATATGAAGAAATTCAACTAAAACTTGAGTCTCTATTGATCGATAATTAGCCTAAGAGGGAAAAATTGAAATGAGATGAAAGCAAAGATCAAGAAATTCTATTACGAGAGAGCTTGGTTTGATACCAGAGACGTGTTCTGTTAGTGAAAATCTGATATAACACGGAACGAAAAGACGAAAAAATAAAAATAAATGATATTTATCTATTGAATGAAGCTTATTCTTAGAGTTAAGAAATGATACAAGATGCAACCAAAAGGTGAAGAAACTTAAATGGACGAACTTTATCTATTCATAGAAAGTTATTGTTACATTTGGAAACTCATAAATAATCAGAAGAAAACACGAAGATATTTAAATACAAGTTATTTTTTTACTGACAGATGCTTATTTTCAAAATGGAGAATCGTAAAAGATGAAACGAAAAC